AGCTCACCCCACCCCAGGGCAGCATTCAGGTCTTAAACACGAGCTTGCTAACTTCCAAACCAGCGTCCTAACCATGTGACTCAGCATGCTCCTGAATTTTTGTTACTTGCCACCATAAATGATGTAGTGTATCCTCATTTATGAGTTTTATGAAACCATGGCCTACATGATAGTAGTTTTCCCACTACTATAATATAATGTTGATGCGGGTTCTTGACATGTAAATTGTGCCACAATGTTGATGGAGGGTTATTCCTGATAAAGTTAAGATAGGAACCTTTTTCAAAATGTCTTACATCTGCAAAATCAAGGGCTTCTATTTTTTTATTTTTTTTAAAAAAGAACAACCTCTAAGGTACTTTAACTGAGGTGGAGGTAGGGAATTTGAATATACTTTTCCAAGGCAAAGATGAAAATAAATTACACTAATATTTATATTTGATCTTGTTTTAATTACATTTCCTTATTTCATTAAATAATTGATATAAAATAATCCAATTATATTAATGTAATTATGGGTATCACTTTACATGGTGTCAGTATATTTTGTAGATTGTCCTATCTGAAGACAGCCTGATAAAATTTCTGTGTATTTAGTTGAGTAAATATGCTAATTCCTATCTGCATATTTCAGATTTTTTTAAATCATTGTTAATTGGAAAAGTAATAAAATCAAATTTTACTCACATTAGTTAGAAGTTAATCCTGTTGAATTTTATGAGACTTACCTATATCTAATTATTTAACTGCCTATATCTAGAAACTGATATATAAGTTTATCTTGAAGCTCAGCTACAAAATTACAAAAGAGCTGTCAAAAACCAAATCTATTTTTGTCTGCCAACAGATGAACCATTTCTTTGTGGCTAAAATGGTAAAACATAAAAAACTTTTCTTAGCAAAACTCTGAGGTAAGATTTTGGGTTAATCATTCACAAATAGTACTGTTTTTTTCTTGCCTCAGCTTTATTCTGTAAGCACATTATAATTTACATTGTCTGGAACATGCTGCTTTATTATTGTAATAATCTTTAATAAACAGTCTTTAGGAATAATATCTAAATATTGCTAACTTTGGTGACTAGATTTCAAACTCTACTGACATTCGGAGAAATTACATTTCAGCATTTCAGCATGCAACAAGTAAGCTTGTAAAAAAGCAGAAAAAATGCCTTTGATCCATGAACCTGTAAAATAAACAGTTCAGCATGAAGGGCTATGTCATAGAGAAAGGAATACTTTCAAACCTCTTTCATTACCTAATTAGAGTAGAGGTATTTGCCTATAATGAAATGAAACTCAGCTCTGCTAGCGTCATAAAATATGAGAAAGCACTAATTTTTTTTCATTCAGAGCAAGAAAAGACAAGCAGACTTTGCCCTCACAGTAGTTTGAGGGCATGTAGAGGAAAATGGCATGTATTCCTGTCCCTGGGAAATGGTTAGTGGGTCCTTCTTGTGGGGAACAAGAAGTAGTGGCAGATATGTGTCCTTTGCAAGTATGGAAAACAAAGTGTTGCATAGTGTAGTTTTCCAAAGTGTTTGAATACAGCACTTTGAAATGTTCAGTGTCACTGAGAATGACAGGAAGACATTTTTATGTGAGCCTAGTTTAAATACTACATCAATCATTACTGAAATTCATAGATATAAAAATCTTCGGCTTTTCAGATTGTCAGTCAATGTTATTTAGGAGAAAACTCTCTGATTCTGATCGTTCTATTTGGTACATCATTAAAACTGCCCAGAATATCATCAGGCTCTAGCTACCAGCCCTGGATGACATCTTCGAATCTCACTGTTTGAGGAAGTTGCATAACATTCTCAGAGACTTTTCCCATCCTGCTTACAATCTTTTTGGACTGTTGCCTTCTGGCAGAAGATACAGAACAATTAAAACTTGGACCACATGTTTTCTGAGTAGTTTTTATCCCAGACCTGTAGTTGCACTCAATAATGAACTAAAGGGCCACCTTCAGTGAGCTGTTGGACAGCATTATTTGGTCTGTTGTGTGGATGTTTGGATGGTTTAGGGGTGGAGAATTGTGGTGGGTGGGAGTATGTTTGGGGATTGTTATGTGTGTTGGACCTGGTCTTTGGGTGTTAAGTGAATTTCGTTGTATGGGTATGACTATTATTATTATTATTATTATTATTATTATTATTATTATTATTTAATCTTTAGTGAGATTCACAGCCTTTGACGCTGGTTAATAGCTCAGCAGCTCGAGTCCTAACCAAGGACCTAGGAACTGTTAAGGTATCGTCGGAGGATGTAAGCTGTTCCAAGTAAGGTGGTTTTTTGTAGAGTCAAAATGTTCAAGTCCGGCAAATTTAGAATTTCTAAATAGTGGGGTAGCCCTTTGGGTATTGCTCCAAGGGCTCCAATTACAATCGGGACAACACACGATTTCTTTTTCCACAGTTGCTCAACTTCAATTTGCAAGTCCCGGTACTTTGTGATTTTTTCTTGCTGCTTATCTTCAATCCGTGCATCACCAGATATTGCAATGTCAATGAACCATACTTTTTTCTTTTCAACTATTGTTATGTCAGGTGTGTTGTGGACCAAGTGCCTGTGAGTCTGAATCCTAAAGTTCCACAAGATCTTGAGTTTCTCATTCTCTAAAACTTTCTCAACCTGATGTTCCCAGTGGTTTTTGCTGTACTCAAATCCAAACTTCTGGCACAATTTCCAGTGAATGATCTTAGCAACATGGTCATGGTGTTGTAGGTAGTCAGTTTGTGAAATTTTGCTGCACCCACTGATCAGGTGGTCAACTGTCTCATCTTTCTCATTGCAGAGGCGGCATTTGCTGTTGGTGGTAACATGTTGAATTTTTGCCTTCATGCAGTTTGTGGCTAGGGCTTGTTCTTGAGCTGCCAAAATAAAGCTTTCTGGTTTTTTTTTTTCAGTACTCCTGATCTTAACCAGTTCCAAGTTAGTTTCTGGTCAGCTTTGCCTTCAATACTTTTCAAGTATTGGCCATGCAGAGTTTTGCTTTTCCAATTTTCAGCTTGCTGCTCAATTACTTCTTTCTTATATTCTGCTTTTGTTTTAGTTGTCTTTAAAAGGCCTCCTTTATTTACTTCCTTAATCATTGGTTCTTAATTTTTCTGGATGTAATCATTCAAGCTGTGTTTTTCTTCTTCCACAATCTGCTTTACTTGTAGGAGTCCTCGACCACCCTCTGCTCTTGGTAAATATAATCGGTCAACATCACTTTTAGGGTGCAAGGCATGATTCATTGTCTTAAGCTTCCTTGTTTTTCTGTCCAAATTGTCTAACTCCATCTGGGTCCAGTCAATTATTCCTGCAGAGTATCTAATCACAGGTATAGCCCAGGTATTTATGGCCTTTATGATGTTTCCTTCACTCAGTTTGGACATTAATATCTTATGAATTCGCTGAATGTACTTGGCTTATTATTATTATTATTATTATTATTATTATTATTATTATTATTTAGTGAATTGAATTGAATACTTTATTTGGCCATGTATGATTGGACACTCAAGGAATAATTATGATTATCACCATACAATCACCATAATAGTAATAATAAGAGGGGGAGCAAGAATAATAATAATAAGAATAAATAAAAATGCTACAGGCTTACTACTTGGGTAAATACACATAGCCATTAGACAAAACTTTGAGAATTAGCAGAGTAATGGCCTGAGGAAGAAAAAACCCTGTCTCTGTGTCTAGTTGTTTTGGCCTGCAATGCCAAAAGAGCCTGTAGTACAGTGGACTAAAGCACTGTTATTAACATCTGCTGCTTGCAATTACTACAAGTTCAAATCTCACCAGGCTCAAGGTTGACTCAGCCTTCCATCCTTTCAAAAGTAGGTGAAATGAGGACCCAGATTGTGGGGGCAATAAACTGACTTTGTATAAATATACAAAAGTATGAAGGCTATTGCTTAACGCATTGTAAGCCGCCCTGAGTCTCCGGAGAAGGGCGGCATATAAATTAAAGTAAAAAAAAAAAGCCCTATAGCACCATATACAAAGTGTGTCTTATATTGAATATTGAATACAATAAAGTCAAATAATGCATCCTAATGCAAGAGATAAATAATGATTTTGTAATTTAGAACTGACCTAACTACCAATTGCATAGTAATAATTTTCATGTTAATAATTATGCAACAAACATTAGAATGGTCAAAAGCCACAGTTTGGGACAGCTGGGGCATTTGCTGAAGTGGGTTTTTCCCCCAGCTGGCTCACCTCAAAAGGGGAAGCAGACTTTTGCATGTGAGCAAGCTGTGGGAAGGGAGTCTGTTTGAATGAGCCCCAAATACATTCTTTTATAGGCTTCTGCTCCATGGATCAGACAGAGAACTCTCAAAATCCCATATGATAATTCATAGCTTTTATAATGCCTACAAAATATCAACACAGTTAACAGTACTGCTATTGAAAATGTTTTGTTTAAGACTACTCTTGCTGAACATCACATTGCTGTTTTACAACTATTTTTGGTTTGTAAATACAATACACTAGGTGCTCTTTAGGTGTTCTGTAAAGGAAGGGTTGACCCAACTCTTCAGTTTTATATTATAGGCTGAAATATCAACAAGTAGAATGTGTTACAATCCTGATATAAAGTGTATTCAACAAAATTTGAGCATGGAACTGCAGAGAATGAGAAATAAGTGCAGAGCCTATGACAACTGAAAATCAATATATCAGTAAATTAATTACAATGTTGTAGATGAAATAGCATTACTAATTCATTTTTATGAAGGATCCACTATTAATTGTGCCATTATATTATGTGTTTTTCATTTTATAAACCTCCTTCCTTCCTTCCTGCCTTCCTTCTTCCCTCCCTGCCTTCCTTCTTCCCTCCCTCACTCCCTTCCTCCCTTCCTCCCTTCCTTCTTCTCTCCGTCACTCCCTTCCTCAACGTGATAGTTTAATTAGTAATATAGTGATTAACTATACCATATAGCATTTTAAAATGCAGTAAAAATACAATCAAGTATAGTCAAATATCCATAATATATATTTTTAAATAATACAATACAATACAGTACAGTACAATACAATACAATACAATACAATACAATACAATACAATACAATACAGCATCAATAACAACAATAACAAACCAATGGTATCAATTCATCCTCCATAGATTCCTCTAAACAATTCAGTTTTTAAAAACTTATGGAAAACCAAGAATGAGGGAGGCAAATTTAATTTCCACCACCAATTCAGATAAATACACAGTAAATATATGAAATCAGTTACCACAGGACTTTAAAATATTTTAAATAATATTACATAAAAACAAAATCACAAAAAAACTATTTTTTCTTTAAACATTTTCTCCTACAGATTCCTGTAACAAAATTCTCAATTTATATTGCATAGACTTGGAACTTTTCCATCCTCCTGACTGGGAATTCTGTGATCTATTGTCCCAATATTGGGGACAGGCTTCTAGATAAAGAAAGCTGATACAATTCTAAAAGCATCAATTTTAAAAGTCCTTTATAAATATATAATAACAATTACAACAATCTATAAATAAGTATAACAAAAACTTCAGCAGATGTTTATTTTCAGTTCTGACACCTGCAATTTTTTTTTACTTCCTTCTGATCTCATAGATGGAATTGTCTGATTCATCCCATATGAGATTCCTCTAGTTGATCCGGTATCTAAATTAAAATGGAGGGAGAAAGAACAAATTTAAAATATTGCATCTTCAGCACCATATCCCTAGTTTTTATCTCTAGATAGAGACTTGTTATTTCTAGCAAGTCCACTTGGAGTATTTGCATCAATATTTTATCTCTATTCACATTATCCCTAAACAACCACTTTCTTTTATGAATTTTTCCCAATCCTTTTGAACAGAAAGAGTAGTAGTCTGGATGGCATATCACTGTTTTTATTTTAAAATACTTTTTGAGGGACTGGTGTGTTGGAGGCATTTGGTGACTCTGGTGATTTCCTGGACTAGTCCCTGCAGTTTTCTTGGTAAGAAAACTGCAGGGATTCAGTTTTCAGTTTTTTCAGTTTTTTTCAGTTTTTTCAGTTTTTTTCAGTTTTTTCAGTTTTTCAGAAAGCTGCCAGTTTTCAGAAGTGGTTTGCCATTGCTTACTTCCTAGAGCTGACAGTGACTGACTGGCACACGATCACCCAACTGGCTTTATGCCTAAGGCAAGACTTTGAAGTCCTCCAGAGTCTAGTTTAGTGCCTTAATCATGACAAAAAACTGTTTTTCATTAAAGCACAGGAAATCCTCATCTAATGACTATAATTTGGAACTGGCAATTTGATAATTAGGTAAAGTAGTTGCTAAGTGAAATAATGAACTGTGCATAACATCTTATTTCAGCTTGCTTTTGCTTAAGTCTAACCCCTTATTTAAAAGTAAGAGCAGAGAATCAATACGCTCAAATGCTGTTTGCTGTCATGACTTTCACTCATGGCTCTACTTTTTGAACAAGTATGGGAGGAAGGAAAAAAAAATCCAGGGGAGTTAAATATTCTATTGAAGAATTGTTATTGCTTGCAAAATGCATTCCTATCCCCTTCATCATACATTTAAACAGTTTTTCCATATATTTGAAATATCCACTGACCTGAAAAATCTGTTTGACCAGAGAGGACAAAGAAATAAATGGTTTGTGCTTCACAATCTTATTAAAATTTCAACATTCAGCAATGTAAGTTAATTAATTTAAGATTCAGAGAAACTCTGTTGTGTTAACTTTCTTTCTCAATGTTTTTTTAAAGAGTGGAGGAAAGCTAGTAACTCCTCAAAATTTTCTGCTCTGATGAAAATGAAGCATAAAAGCCATAATTTTAGTAGACTGAATATGTTAATTATGGGAAAAAATAAAACTTCGGAAGGAGATGGTGGGGAAGCAGCATACGGCCAAATTGTAGGAGATGACTAGGTTGAGGCTGAGAGAGGGGTCAAATGTGTCATCAGTCTTGAGTCCCTTTGTTCCCACAAGATATGTAAGTCCAAGTCCACTTTGAATTCCATTGACTCTTATGTATCGGCAATTTACTTTGACCATTATTATGTCAGATTCTTGTAGAAAGTGTTAACATGCAATAAATCTGTATTCATTTGAACCGCTCTGACTCCTGATTTCTTACACAAAACTAGCAAAATAGCAATTTTGTTTATCATATGTTATGAACAATATAGCAACATCATGTGGCTATATTGTTTCTTATATGAATCACTATCAATGAAAATTATTGGGTTTTTAAAAATTATTAGTTAATATGTGCAAGTAGATAAATTAGGAATTAGAACATTTGTATAGTAAGGTTTATCTTGAATAATCTATTGTGTGCAACATATTTTTTTTCTGCCTAAAAAAATATTCAGGTTTTACCAATAATATAAAGTGACTATAAAAAAAAAAAACCTAATATAAACCGATACAATAAAACTGCTGGTGACCATTAAAAATGAGCTCTATTTAATTGTACCTGCAACTTGACCAATTGCTCCAAGCAGAATGGCTGTTATAATGATCCCGGGATCGAATTAAGCAGCGGTAACCAGAATAGCAACACAGTTTCTTAGTAATGGTCATGATGTCTCCATGATGAAGTAATGATGAATGATCAACTTCAGAAATCTGAGAATAAAATTACAACTTCCATTTAATGAATTGTAAATTCATTTACCAAGCACATAAACCTAAAAAGCATAGAGTTTCCAGAAAGGATGTGTCAATTCTCCTTAATCGAGATAGACAAGGATGGTGATGTTGAATTCAATTCAATTCAATTCTGATTACATGTGATTCTCATTCTTGTTTTAGGAGTAAAAAAAAAGACAATTATAAATCCCTCCTTGTTCTGTTTTCATAACAAATCTATCAGGTTCAGTTGAGAGAATGTGACTGGTCCAATCTAGTGGGTTCTATGATCATGTAGAGATTTGAGCCTAGATTTCCTTGATCTCAATACCTTAATCAGTAGACCATCTGCTCCCTACATAATGAAAAGATTATCCAGATTTTCATTATGTCCATTGAAATATATGGAAAGTACTAAAACTGAATTGGCTGAAAATTCATGAGATTAATATCAGGCAATAGAAACTGAATCATTGACATTTCCCAACCTTTACTATTAAGAGGTAATGTCTTCTGCTATGGAGCAAATGAAAAAAGATCACTATCTTCCAAGTGTTCCAGATGTATCTATATAGAAAAGCAACAGGAAGCAACATTCCTAAAAATCTGGATCCTTGATTTAATCCAGAAAATTCATTTCGGGACACTGCTACAGGCCATTGTATGCCAAGACAATTGGACACAGAGGCAATTCCCTTGTGCCACCATTCTGCTGTACACCTTATTCTCATAGTACTGTCTTATGCCTAAGTATATTTACCCATGTTGTCTGGCTGTTATTATTATTCTCATCTTCTTTACTACTCCCTCTTATAGGTATCATTATTATAATTATTATTGCTCTATTGCTTTGCATGCACACTGAAAGATTTTGAACCAGAGAAGGTATGTCTAATAACACTTTATTGTTGGCCAATAAAGTATTCTATTTCTATTAATTCACCAAAAATATATGGGATAAAACAGAGATAGACAACTTGATACTCATCAGAGATTTTGAGTTACTTCATTCCCAGCCAATTTGATTAAAGTTCAATGTTTCAGAGATTTGTATCCAAACTTTTATTGGACAGCAGAACTGCCTACACCAGATTGTCTGCTTCTAGTTCATCAACTATCTTATTTCCTGTTCTCATTATTGTCATAGTTCTGCAGCTGTGTGTCTTAAAATATCTTCAAGGAAAGTACATCTGCTTAAGAAAATTACCTCTTCATTATTGTTGAAAACCGTTTTGATCTGGTAAGTAAGCCCAAAATAAGAAACTGGGGTGCTCCAGGTTGCAGGATGTAACAAAATCAATGTGCCATTTCTGGTAACCTGGCACAGAGAGATATCCGGCTTTACTGCATGAAACAAGCAAATGAATATTATATGTAACTGTATCTATTTTACTTAGACTTTTAAATTATTACATACTGTTAACATTTGTCATTTTTAATGAGCTCAGAAGGGTCACATTTATTTCAAGGCTGCAATATGATTGCATATTAGCTACTTGTTCTTTTATTATGGGAGAAAACTGGCAGGACCAACTCAAAGTAAATATTTCAGAATAAGAAAGGTGACTGTCAAGAAAGGTGACCAAGTCAAAGTTCTTGTGTTGATATATAAGTTTCCTTGAAGTATAGTTTTCGAATGAAAAACTGGGTAGCCTATATCAGAATTAACACATTTGTGGACCTCTAAATAATTGAGACTACACTACAATTCTCAGAAGCACCAATCAGCATGGCTAATGATCAGATTAAGGGAGCTAGAGTCCAATACATTCAGAGGGAGCTCACCCAGATTACATATATGTGCTTAAAAATGTATACTCTTTGATCATCATAAGTGTAAATGGTGTCAAATCTCTGTGAAAATTAGCCAGGTGGTCTGTGTGCTCACCTTGGCACATAGTAAAAAGATTAAGCAGACCTAGTACTAACTGACTAACCTGGTTAATACCTGATAGGAGACTAATTGGAATTCCCTTGGCTAGGAAAAGAAAGGGAAATTGTCAAGAAGCTATTTGAATGTGATCATGAAGTTATAGAAGTCAAACTCAATTTTCGAGACTTGGATTTGAACTATATGAAAAATCAAAGACATTGTAAGACTGGTGGGCAGGAAGGTTTTCAAATTTAAACATTATCCCTGAAAAGAGATTACTATTAGACAATCCTAATTTGGATAAATGCATTGTTTATTCTTGTCTGGCAAATTGTTTTGATTTCAAAAAAGCCACTCAGAAATTTTCATTGGAAAATGACACCTCCTTCTCTCTCAGAAAGACTCACGAGTGAGCGTATGTTTCCCTCTACTGTCCATATTATATATTGCAGCCAAAAGGAGAAATTATTTTCGTACATGGAAATTGTTATTTTTTGTTTCTCCTCACAGTCTGTTGAATTGACAAAATGAACTATTTTGCATGACTTACGGATGTCCTTGATGAAGAAATGTCTGGTATGTTTCTCATAGACAAATACATCCGTCAAAAAAACATGAAGAAACACTACAATTGGTTCATACTCCTCAGTATATGAACAGGGATTTTCTCTTCTGCAGGAAGCCGAATATTCTGTGTTTGTTGTCTCAGAATTAATGTCACAAATTACTGTTCCTGATGCAGACCTGCATTTGAAACCAAGATCCAACTGAGCCATGATTTCTACCTCTTCTTTTTTAAAAAAAACCTTAACTAATTATCAGATTTAAAACATCCTCAATGAAAATAAATAAATACAGACTTCAGAAAATATGTTTTAGAAGGTTACCCTTAAATTATTGCTAGTATTAGTATTGTTAGTTACACTGAATTCTCTCATGGGATCAAAACATTTAATAGCTCTATCCCACAATTAGTTTTCATGGGTTAGATAATTTTATCAGTAGATAAAAACTACACCTCATAATAATCATAAACATTTACTTTGCCCTAGCTTAGACAATATGACAAGCCCAATGCTATCAGCCATTACATTATTGGCTCATTCATCTCTTAAAAATATTTCATATACAATGCTTTACTATGTATTCTACATAGTAGAATACTATGTATATAGTATGTAATACTATATACTATGTAATACTATGTATTCTACATAGATTTTATTGAGTTTAATTGAGACCACTCTAAAGCGCATAAACAATAGTTCCAAATTCTAATGAAGTTTCAAAATGGAATTGTACTATCACATCACTGCTCCATCGTTCTTTTGCATTGCAACATCATATGAAAGTACTTAAGAGGCAGAGTTTATGTCACAGTTCAAGCTTCATCACTTGTCCTTCCTTCACAAACAGCTTTCTGATCAGGGTATTTGCAAGATGGATATAATCTATGTATCCATGCCCAATTCTTGACCTTCCTTTTAACCTGCAATTAACAATTATATGTGCAATATAATAATACATTAAATGACTTACTTTGTTTGATTTTCATCTTCATATTCAATCCGAAATTTTAAGTTTGGATTTTGACTCTGCACTTTCCAAAAGCATGTGAAGTTCCCCGAATAATTATTTGCTTCACAGTAGAAATAGGCCTTTTTCTCTGGATCTAGAGGGCAAAAATAAAATGGCCTTAAATACAGCATGTTTTAGAGCATGCTAGTGACTATTTCTAATTTATGATTTAATGCAGGGCATTTTCAGGGCATTGAAAGCATCAAGATGAATAAAAAAATGTAAGAATTTATTTTGCAAATATACACAAGTAAATTATATTATGGTACAATGTACATAATAATTCTGATCCACACACAAAAAAAAAAGAGAGAGAGAGAGAAAGAGAGAGAGAGAGAGAGAAAGGATTCTCAAGTTTGTTTCTTAATGTTCATGCTATTCTCTCTTTCCAATCATCTGAATTCTATCTTTTTTTTAAAAAAATATTTTTATTTATTTATTTATTAAGTTTATATACTTTTTCCCATTGTCTCTGCAAAGGCAGGAAGAAGTCCGGTCATGCCTTACTCCTGTTGGTGATAATTTTTCTTCTTTATCTATAGTGGAAATATTATTACCAATCCAAACCTTCTCTATTTTACCCTACTCTTATTTTAAATTGTATGTATAAGATTTTATTGGCGATATGTGTTTGCACCTTGTGCTTTGATATGGCCTATAGGCTAATCAAAGCTATCATTTTAAACTGTATTTTATTCCAATTTCATTTTAAATTGTTTTTATCAGATTTTAGTAATAATTTGTGTCTGGAACTCTGCACTTCAATATGGCCCAGGGGCTAATCAATAAAGTAAAGTAAGTACCAGTCCAAACAATATTCCAAAATACATTATTGATTAGAAAAGCCCTTCCCATTCCCATCCTTAATTCTATTCCCTTTCCACAAGCAAGTAAAGAAATGTAAACAACCTTGCTGTTTGCGTATTGAGAAATAAGTTGCGTTTGTCCCTGTGAAGGAAGGAGTGGGGGAAGTAATACGTTTCATTCTCTTCCTTCAGGGAAGAAAAAACTGCTTCTCCCTTTCCAGAAAGGAGATAATGATGATGAAGAAGATGATGATATAGAGAGACGTGGAAAGATTGACAAAAGGGCATAGGCATTTAGGACAGAGCTTTCTGTCTCTGAAGTTTCTGCCCATGATATCATAGCATCCGATTCTTGATTTGCAATCCCACATTTAGGATTCTTCTGCTAGCAAATCCTAGTGTCAAGGATCTATATATAATGGCTTACTATTGGATAGTCTTGGGGTTCTGTAAGGTATATAGAGCATCTGCTTCCTTAGCTAACACTGTTTGATTAAATGTAGATTTTGGGATATCAATTCTCATGCTGAAGCTGTTTCCTAACTTTGTCACAGCTTTATGACAGCTATCAAGTCCATAAAGCTGTTCCTGAACATCTTAATTTGGGGGATAGCCACATGCCAGGTTATTGTGAGTATGGATCATTGATCAGATCTATGGGGCAAGAATAGACAATACCTCCTACTACTTGTCCTCACTTTACACTGCCATTATTATTATTTTTAATAAGTTGACCGGTGTATTGTTCAAATGCTAGAATGTTTCTTATTTTAACACACTGGGCTATTTAGGAGCCAGAGTGATACCCTTCTTCCTTATAAGTAGTAGCAAAACTGATGAAATGATATACCAATGAACTTGGGAAAAGAAAAGAAGAAAAAAGAAAGCACATTAAAGTAGTTGACTCTGGGAAAGAAAAAAAAATATTCTAAAAAAATAATTCCCAGGTTTTTCACAACTGATTTTATTTTTGCATGTCAGGCAAATGTTATTAATGGAACATCATTGGTAATAACAACTGCAGCATTGATTTTGGAGCCCAACAGGGAAAATGGAAGAAAGGAACATTTACTTGAAACCTGATCGTTGTATTTACATATTGATGCTTTAACTTTGTTAACTTTGTATTGCATTTTTTTCAAATATAATATGAATGTATGAATGTCTAGTGAGAGAAAAAGGAATAGCATAACAGCTGTGGAATTGTCCAGCATCTTGATCTGGACATAATTTTCTTAAAGTGACTTCATGACTTAGATCAGTCAGCGCAAGAATGGGGCAGGATCATCTTAAGAATGCAGTATGGAAGTACTCTTGTCAAGTAAATGTGTTAGAGTATCTGGTTCACCTGTAATCATAGGATCCAGTGGTGGGTTTCAAAATTTTTTACTACTGGTTCTGTGGGTGTGGCTTGGTGGGCGTGGCATGGCTTGGTGGGTGTGGTTTGGTGGGCATGGCAAGGGAAAGATACTGTAAAATCTCCATTCCCACCCCACTCCAGGGGAAGGATACTGTAAAATCTCCATTCTGTCCCCAATCCAGGGGAAGGTTACTGCAAAATCCTCATTTCCTCCCGATCAGCTGGAACTTGGGAGGCAGAGAATAGATGGGGGTGGGGCCAGTCAGAATTTTTACTACCAGTTCTCTGAACTACTCAAAATTTCTGCTACCAGTTCTCCAGAACTGGTCAGAACCTGCTGAAACCCACCTCTGATAGGATCCGTTCATTTTGAAATATAACTCTCACAACTTATTCAACTCTGTAGAAGTAGGAAATCTATTAGATTAGTTGATGGAATCTGAAAAATTCCTGAACACTTTTAGGGGATTTCTGGATAACATTTTGGGTTTTTCTGCTAAATCACTTCAGAACTCTGAAAAACGTGGAACTGTTAGGCTAAATTTCATTGACAAGGTTTCTAAACTGAGAAAAAACTGTTAGAAGCACTCCACAGTATCAAGTGCCCAAAAATACCTTTATGTGTCTCGGCAAACAAACATTTTATAGGAAAGAAACAGAAGCTAAAGAGAAATGATAAACCTAGTGAACAAGAATATGGAGAATATAAGATGAAATCAAAGAACAATTGGTTGCATAGGGATTTAGTTTTTACTAGTTTTTGTACACACAGTTAAGAGAAAGATTCAAGATAGATAAGCACATTTGAAATTGAGTATCAAAGGCAGAATTTGAAACTGAATTATATACAAACGATGAGCCAAAAGTTGCCAAAAGTTCTGCTAAAATTTAAAATGATAGATGAACAAGTGGAAAAAAAATGTATGGTAAAATGGCTAAGAATTTTGAAGATAAAATATTGTTGGAATAGTAGGAAAATTTATATTATGCTAGAACTTAAAAGAGAATAATATTTGTATTATCTTGTTAAAATTCTTCAATAATATTATATTTTAAAAAGAAGAAACAGTATGCAGTATCGATGCTGCTCAGAGGGCTTACCTTTCTTGAGAATTGGTTCATCTATTTCTCCTTTTTCATTCTTCTTTGTAATGTAAACAGCATTGGAACTTAGAAGCTCATGTGTAGTGTTACTCCAACAGGTATAATTGCCAGCATCTGGAGTCCCTCTGACTCTTACTGTCAAAGTCCTGCCATTTCCTGCCCATTTCGAGCCTTTCTTCCAATAAACCAATCCATGCTGACTTTCAGATGTGTCGCAGATGAGCATCAGGTTTTGGGGAAGTGCTGAATTATCTGAAGACCACTGACATTCCACGAAGTGCTCTGAACATTTCAAAATCATTAAGTTGTAAAACTCTAAAAGGGCAGGCAATGGTCAACCAACTGGTTCATCTAGATCCCAGTGCATGTACCTTGAAAATGCTAACATGTTCTTACATTACAGCACTTAGTTTAAAAAAGTAAAGATTATACCACATGTAAATCAAAACAGTGCTCATCCGTAAGCAGCTACCATAGTGAACCCATGAACAAAAGGCAACAGCTTCAGAAGAATGTAATAGGGTGTGTAGCTTGGGTAAGGCTCGGTTTCTACCTGCAAGAAAACTTGGCATGGATACAAATTAATGTTTAATAGCCCCCATATTGGAGGTACATCTAGCAGGAGAAGGTACATCTAACAGGACCAAGAAGAGCCTTCTCTGTGGTGGCTCCTTCCCTGTGGAACATTCCTCCAGAATTAACTTTGGCCCCAAGTTGACACTCTTTCACAAAACCCTGAAGACCTGGTTTTGCCAACAAGTCCAGGGAGCCCAGAGTAGGATGGAACCTATCAAGTGACTTATTTGATTGATTAGGAAACTGGAATTGTCATCAGGAAATTGGAATTGTCAACACCGTTAAACTTTTTAAAAAAAATATTAAGTTTTTATCTCTGAAAGCTACCCAGAGTAACTAAAAGTGAGTTGAGTGGCAATATAAATTTTCTTAAATATATAAATAAATAGTGAACTCTCATGTACATCTGTTATGTGATAACATTTTTTTTCCCTTTTAGTACAGAGTTACAAATAGCTGACAACATAGGCATTATATACATGATCATTCGGTATAGTTTCATTTCTATCTTGAACCCCTGTGGAACAGAACATTCTATTCAACATTTGCAATATGCCTACAAGTGATGCTTGTAGTTACTCATTGTCAAATCCATTACTGTCATACACTTACACATAGTCTTCAACTTATGACCATAATTGGGACCAGAATTTCTGTTGTGAAGCAAGGTGGTTATTAAGTAAGTCACACCTGATTTTACAACTGTTTTTGCTATGCTTGGTAAGCAATTCACTACAGTTAAGTGAATCACACAATTGTTAAGCAAAGCCATCTTAGAATAACAGAGTTGGAAGGGATCTTGGAGGTCTTCTAGTCCAACCACTGCTTAGGCAGGAAACCCTATAGCATTTCAGACAAATGGTTATCTAATCTCTTCTTAAAAACCTCCAGTGATGGAGCACCCATAACTTCTGGAGGCAAGTTGTTCCAATGATTAATTGTTTTAACTGTCAGGAAATTTCTCCTTAATTCTAAGGTTGTTTCTCTCCTTGATTAGTTTCCACCCATTGCTTCTTGTCCTGCCTTCAGGTGCTTTGGAGAATAGCTTGACTCCCTCTTCTTTGTGGCAGCCCCTGAGATATTGAAATACTGCTATCATGTCTCCCCTAGTCCTTCTTTTCATCAAACTAGACATACCCAGTTCCAGCAACCGCTCTTTATACTGTATGTTTTAGCCTCCAGTTCCCTAATCATCTTTGTTGCTCTTCTCTGCACTCTTTCTAGAGTCTCAACATCTTTTTTACATCATGGCAACCAAAATTGGATACAGGATTCCAAATGTAGCCTTACCAAGGCATTATTAAGTAGTATTTACACTTGTTCCATTTATTTTTTTTTGTTGTAAGCTAGCTGGGAAGGTCACAGATGTCGATCACATAACCTGGGGCATCACAATCACTGTAAATAAATGCCCATTGCCAAATTCCCAAATTTTGATCATATGACCATAGGGATGCTGCACAATTCTTAAGTGCTAGGACAGGCTGTAAGTTATTTTTTTCAATGCCATTTTAACTCTGAACTGTTGCTAAATGAATAGTTGTAAGTCAAGGACTACCTGCATTCAATATCTGGTAGTTGCCAATATTTATTAAGGAAGAGAAAAAAATGAGGTATGTGTTTTTTTTTCTTTGCTTTCTTGCCTTGGCCTAACCTGATCAACAGAATAAGACCGTCCTGGAAAAGACTGCTGTTTAAAATGCAACGTAACTTCCTCTACATTTCTATTGTTATTGAATTAGGAGAAGACAACCACATCTTCCATTTACTTCTCCTCATTTACTTCAGGAAGATATACCAAACACAGCTATTCTGGAAAGTTAACTATTTCCCTTACACTCATGAAGTGTTCTTGGAACAGCATTTAATAGAAAAGATATTTGATTTTTCAAAAGTGCAGGCAATGAGAAATATTTAGACTATACTGGAGTGTAGTTTGGGTTTGGATACTGAAACTCCTGAATCTTTAATTAATTATTGAATTCTTCTTAAAAATAAATATTTGGGATTGCATTTGAAGTGCTCTAAGGCCTGCATAGCATAACCCCACACATTGTTAGTGTGGTGCAGTAGTTATGGTTTTGGTAAAGAAGATATTATTCAAGTCTATTCTTAGTAATGGAAGCTTACTAATGACTTCAAGCCAGTTTCATGCAAAACTATCTGGATTATTGTGGAGAAAAATTGGAGGAAGTGTATGGTGAATGTCATTTTAAGTTCCTGGATGAAAAACAGAATCTTATCAAGTAATTAATACATTTCAATTAACTACAAAATTTCATTCAAAAACTCAGTGACATACCATTTATTCTTATTTCTTGTGTTGCTGCTCTGTGAGCAACCAAAGTCAGTGTAAACATCAGGATAAATACAATGAATGTCATCTGTAAGGAAAAATAAATAAATAAAAGTAAAAATTAAAAAGAACAACTCTATATATCATCGCACCTATCATTATTTAGGAGGCTTGCATATTTATAAATGAAGGCTCCAGATGTTTCGTGGATTTATTTACATTGTGAACTATCTTCCTCTGTATCTTATGAATTGACATATTATCTGCAAAGTATTTTCTTGATACTGGTAGTAATCTTTAATAAAGTAATCTCATTTACAATCATGGCAAGAAGCTAGCAGAGCCTTAAATCCTACTACCATTTTCATGGCGAATATACCCAACCTATAGAATATGTCAGTTGCTAAAAGCAAGGGTTAAAATATATAATGGAAACTATGCAACCTAGAGTTGCACCAAGCAAGTTAGACTGAAAATAAAATGGAGCATCAGGGTACTCAGATACCATAAACATATTTTTCCCTCTGATGTTTGAATGGTCAGAGAAACGCAATGGTTTTGATGCTGAAAACAGAAAGGGCTCAGTGCTAAGAAATTAAAATGATTGAGTTTGTGGTAACTCCAATAGCAAAAGAAAGATTATTTGTCCCACACTAGGAAGATTTGATGTGGCAAAAATAATTGGCATTTATTACTTTATTTTCAGTAAATTTAACACGACTTCTCTCTTTTAAATTATTCAGGGGTTGAAATTAGTCTTTCTTTCATATAATTTACAATTGATACATCTTAACTAGTTTCTTTGGATTGTTATTGGACCTGATTTGATTTTTTTTTAAAAGGGGGCATATTAGAATAATTGCAATATATGCCATTATATGGCATATATATGCCAAAATAAATAGAAAAATACAAAACATCATAGAAGCAAGAGAATCAAAGACAATCTATCATTCCTTATTGAACACCTTCAACAGAAAAGATTTCATCATTCTGAGGAAACTATTTTTGTTCAGACAGTTTTCCTGAAGTTCAGCAAAAAACTGTATCCTTGTAAGATTAAACCCATTGTTCATTATCCTTTCTTTGAAAAAGTCATTTTTCCCCCTGACAACTTAAAGAGGCCTGCCCAGAGTCTTCCGTTCACCAAGCTAATCATAAACAACATTTCTAATAATTCCCAGAGAACGGGGAGGGCCTTCTCTGTGAGGGCACTTACCCTCTGGAATCAGCTGCCCCCAGAGATAAGGAGAATTCAAGACCTCGGTGCCTTCCGCCGTGCCCTTAAAACTTTCTTTTTCCAGCAAGCCAGGCTGGCTTAACATAACATTTTTTAAAAACATTTTTAACTGGTTTATCACTTTAAATTGGGGCCAAATTAATATATCCTTTTAACTGTTTTTAATGTTTTTAGCTGGCTGTACACCGCCCAGAGTCCCTCGGGAGAAGGTGCGGTATATAAATTCGAAATAAAATAAAATAAAATAAAATAAATTGGGTTTAGTTAAACCCAATATATCCTAACTAAGGATCTTCTGGATACATTTTCCTCAAAGAAGTACACTATCTATGGTCCACCAACATCCCAAATCTTGTTCATATATACTGCTACATGGATTTGCCTCTGATCCCAGACTCATGCCTTTGAATTATTCCTATACAAAGAAAGATTTTCTATTTGTTCCCATTGAAATTCATCTTGCTTGTTTCTGCCCACTGCTCCAGTTTTCAAATCTTCCTGAATCCTGATAATGTCCCCTAGATGTTTGCTGTCCTTACTATTATTACATCATCTACAGATTGGATAACCACATTTTCTAACATCTCATCAAATAATTTACAAACATTTTGAAAAGTAAAGGAGTCTAGAATTCTATAGTGTGCCACTTATTATTTCCTATCATTTATTTGTCCATCGGTCCACCTTCCTTCCTTCCTTCCTTCCTTCCTTCCTTCCTTCCTTCCTTCCTTCCTTTCTGGCTTCCAATCTCACAAGAAGTGACAAATAAATTGATACACAAATAAATATTGATGTACATTTCATATATACTTCTTGCCAGTCAGTACTCCTATCCTGGTAGGACTGAATTTGGAAGAAAAATAAATACATTCTTACCTTTTCAGCTATGTCAGCTATTGCCAATGGTAGTGTAACCTCACTGAATTGCGTTCTATCTGCTAAACACTGGTTGCCTTACGTATATATATATACGCTTAAATTCTGAAACCAAAAAAACACTTGGCTTAAACCACAGGGCCACAGAATTACAACATATAGAATAAGTTCCCTTTTTGCAAGCAATAAAAAAAATTAAATACAAAAGAAACCGCTATGCAAAAATTGGGAGTCCCTAATAATTCTCAGAGAGGAAATAAGATTATTAGACTAACATTTATACTATGCAACAGGAATTTCCTTTCCTGCCTAATTTTCTTCCAGGCCATGCAAGCTTTTGCTCTACGATTTTAGCGTGACCTCACTGGAAATCCAGAATATGTTCTGAATTAGAGAAATGGAAATAACTGAATCTGGATGGATTTCAAAGTCCTGTCTTCGCATGCATTAAAAGCAGGAGAAAACATAACTCAGATGCAGGCATCATGCTCTAAAACGAAAATACATTTTAAAGTACAGGTAGTCCTCGATTTACAACCACAATTGAGCCCAAAATTTATGTTCTTAAGTGAGAATTTGTTAAGTGAGGTTTGCCCCATTTTACGACATTTCTTGACATAGCTGCTATGTGAGTCACTGCAGTTGATAAGTTAGAAATCCGTTTGTTAAGTGAATCAGGTTTCCCCATTGACTTTGCTTGTCAGAAGGTGATCACATCACCCCGGGATGCTCTAGCAGTCAAAAGTATGAACCAATTGCCAAGCATCTGAATTTTGATCACATGATCATGGAGATGCTGCAAAGGTTGTAACTGTGAAAAACGGTCATAAATCACTTTTTCCATTGCCACTGTAACTTTGAACGGTCGCTAAATGAACTGTTGTCAGTCGAGGACTACCTGTATTACTTAAAATAGATATTAGTTAGGATAATATGCCAGACGGTGAGCAGCAGCTGGAACTCAATATGTAACTGAAGAAGAGTTGAGGATCTTGCAGAATACGAAAACTTTGGGACATCTAGTTGCAGGAAAAATTGCAAAAACAGAATTACAATGGCAACATGGAATGTAAGAAACATAAACACAGGAAAGCTCAGTATTGTTAAAGATTAAATGAGCCTAGTACAGATTAGCACAGTTGGCAACAGCAAAATGAGATTTTATTTTATTTTATTTTATTTATTTATTTATTTATTTTGTCAAGCATGTATTTTATGACAGATACAAATGTAAACATAATTATAAATACATGAAAAGGATACGAATTGGACACTTTCAGTCAGAAGATTCATTGTTTTCTACTCAGGACATGGAAAACAAAGAGGGAACAGTGTTACTTACATAGTGAAGAAGGTTATAGCAAGAACAGTGCTCGGCTACAATGACATCAATAGCTGAACAATATCAATCAACCATCATGGATAATCCTTTAATATGATGATTATATAAGTTTATGTTCCAATGACTGGTTCAGAAGAAGAGGAAGTTGATGAGTTGTATGATCAGGTTTAAATCAAAATTTACAAGAACATGTAAACCAGATTTGTTGTGCATGGTAGAAGACAGAAATGCTATTCTTGGAAATATTAAGGATGAAAATGTAGTTGGACCACATGACCTAGAAAACTGAAATGAAGCAGGAAAACAACCTATAGGTTTCTGCTAATCCAGTGATTGTTGTTAACAGTCTTCATACATCTGAACGAATGCCAAGATATATAGACATTAAGGAGTATACAAAATTTTATTGGTTAAAGTAAAGCTGAGTTATAACAGCCAAAATGGGGCAGTGACTGACTGTAGAACAGATCATGAATTACAAGTTCAAAAACTAAAATGGGAGAAGAAAGTCACCTAATTTCTATGATATGAATTTGAGCATATCCCAAGCCGTGGTGGCACAGTGGTTAGAATGCAGTATTGCAGACTAATTTAGCTCAATGCCAGAAGTTCGATCCTCACCAGCTCAAGAATGACTCAGTCTTCCATCCTTCCAAGGTTAGTAAAATGAGGATCCAGATTGTTGGAGACAATATGCTGACTCAGTAAACCGCTTAGAGGGTGCTGTAAAGCACTATGAAGTGATATATAAGTCTGAGTGCTATTGCTATTTTCATGGAGAACATCAGGAATCTCTCTGAAGTCTTGAACATCATTGATCAGAACCAGAGAAACCATAGAATGAGCCTGCTGTTGTTAAAAAATTAGGGATGAATGTGAAAAAAGACTGCCAAAGATCAGGAAACAGAAGAAAACTGGATTTTAGAACAAATTGAAGAAATTGCCAAGAAGAGAATTGAAGCCAAAGTCAAGAAAGAGAAAGATTTCAAGAAGGAACTTAAAAAAAGAATTCCAGAGAATTGCTAAAAGTGTCTGGAACAGTATTAAAACAACAACTTTGAAGATATCTAGGGTAAAAACAGGCATGGAAAAACAAGAAAAGTCTTCCAAAAGATCTTTGAACTCAGAAATAGGTTTAATATGTTTAAGGTCACCAATGGACAGATAACCCAGAATTTTTTGATAGTGAGATGGGTGGCACACACATTTAATAAAAAAATAAATAGTAACTGATTTCAAGAAGATCAAGCAAAGAAGTGTTGTCAACTTACAGTAGTCAACCTCCAAGATTTGTTAGAAGACAGTTCCTACCTATAAGAATCTATAGTATTCGATGATAGTTATATCAGCATTCTGGTTATTACCATTCAGGAAATTACAGGAATTGATGGAACATTTTCAGAAATATGGTAAGCAAGAGAAAAATATCAGTAAACGTTGTAACCTTTACTGATCTTAAATCAGCAAATCTGGAGAATGATACATTGCCCAAGAATAGCTCAATCTATGTTCTGATATCAAACAAGGAGATTTAACTGACTGTGGAAACTAAAGTACAATATATTTAATTTTCCTTTCTAGCAAATAATGCTACCACCATCCCACAAAAATGAAAGCCCTATATCTGTGATGGCGAACATATGGCACGTGTGCCACAGGTGGCATGCGGAGCCATATCAGTGGGCACGCCAGCTCAGCTCTGGCATGCAGACTCCTAGAGAGGCTCTGGAGGCTGGGGACGGCAAAAAACATCACTTCCTGTCCCACTGGGATTTGGGAAATGGACCATTTCAGGCCTCTGGAGGGCCTCCGAGGGAGTGGAAAAGGCTGTTTTTGCCCTCCCCAGATGCACAAAGAGGATCTGGAGCCAGGTGAGAAAGAAAAACGGGCCTACCGGGCCATCGCGTGCCAGGAGCGGGGGGGAGCAGGGTTGCGCACACATGTGCAGGGCAGAGCGCATGGAATTATGGGTGTGGGCATGCGCACACCTGAATCTCCCCTGCCCCCCCTCCTGGCACGCGATGGCAAAAAGTTTAGCCATCACTGCCCTATATGTTCAAGTTTGCTTTACAAAAGGCTGAGGAACCTGAGACATTATTGCTAATAATGCTGGATAATTAAGAGAGTCAAATAATACTAAAAAGAGATTAATATCTGCTTGAATAGAAGCTGTGGAAAATACTTAAATAAATAGGAATCCTCAGAATATCTCATTGTCATCATGCAAAATCTATACATGGCTCAAAAAGCCACATTACAGACAGAACAAGGTGAAAGAATCAAATAGAATAGAATAGAATAGAATAGAATAGAATAGAATAGAATAGAATAGAATTGAATAGAATAGAATAGAATAGAATAGAATAGAATTCTTTATTGGGCAAGTGTGATTGGACACACAATTATTGTATTTACAGTTCACCATACACTACTATAATTAATAAGCACATAAAAATGATAAATTAGCCACCACTGGTCTTCAACACTTCAACATAGCCCAGGCTATGATGTTTCTTCCTCTGGTTTTAAAATTACATTCATCTTCTTCCTACCCGGCTTCCCTCAATATACAGTATATTTCACATATAGGTTGAAGAAATAAGAAGAAAATATACACCCTTGTTCTCTCATTTACCAATCCGCCAGGCTGTTTACTAATCCTTTACCAACCCACCAGACTGCATCTCAAAAGATCCTTCACTTAAAGTACTGAAGTTTGCAGATGATACAACAGTGATTGGTCTCATTTGAGACAATGACGAATCTGCATAGAAACAGGAGGCTGAACAACTAGCCTTGTGGTGCAACCAGAACAATCTTGAACTAAACACACTCAAAACCATGTAGAATGGTGGTAGATTTTAGGAGAAACCCTCCTATACTACCATCTCTTACAATACTAGACAACACAGTATCAACAGTAGAGGCCTTCAAGTTTCTAGGTTTTATCATATCTTAAGATTTAAAATGGACACCTAACATCAAAAACGTCATCAAAAAAGCAGAACAAAGAATGTTCTTTCTGCGTCAGCTCAGAAAGCTCAAACTGCCCAAAGAGCTCCTGATTAAGTTCTAGGGAAGTAATTATTGAGTCTGTCATCTGCACCTCTATAACTGTTTGGTTTGGCTCTGCAACCCAACAAGACAGGCACAGTCTTCAGAAGATAATTAGAACTGCAGAAAAAACAATTGCTACCAACCTGCCTTCCATTGAGGACCTGTATACTGCACGAGTCAAAAAGAGGGCTGTGAAAATATCTACAGACCCCTCACATCCTGGACATAAATTGTTTCAATTTCTACCGTCAAAATGATGCTATAGGGCACTGCACACCAGAACAACTAGACACAAGGACAGTTTTTTCTTGAATGCCATCACTCTAGCTAAACAACTAATTCCCACAACACTGTCAAACCATTTACTAAGACTGTATTATTATTATTCTTCTCATCCTTCCTATTACCTATCTCTTCCCACTTATGACCATAACCACATTGCTTGTATTTTTACTATTTATATTGTCCTGTTTGTTTCCTTGTATGATTTGATTGCTTATTAGTACCCTATGACTATGACTAAGTGTTGTATCTTTCGATTTTTGATGAATGTATTGTTTTCTTTTTTCTTTTTTTCCTTTTATGTACACTGAGAGCATTTGTGCATAATTTCATCTAATGCTTCTAATGCATTGTTGCAATATTGCTTAGTTGTCTATCTTGGGGATAGGAGATAGCTTCCTTCATAGCAAATGACTAAAGTTATCATTTTTATGTGCTTATTATTAGTGTATGGTGAACTATAGATACAATAATTTTATCTAGGGTGTCAATTAAGACCTGAACATTATTTCAAGAATTCCTCAAGGGTAAAAAAGTTGAGAAAGGCTGATTCAGAATATAAGAGAGAGTTTTAATCCTTTCCAAGGATCCTTTCCCAAAAAACCACATTTTAAGAGGGGGAAAATCAGCAGTCTATGAATGAATGAATGAATGATCAGAATTCTATATGAGAGTGGAATATACTAGATTCTTAGAAATTGTGTTGGGATCTAAACTATGGAATTTTCATATAAATGAGAGTTTTTTCATTAAAATGTCCAGATTACAAGATGGTTTCCCATTATGATGTCATAAACTTTTATGGGGAATTTAGAGAATATAGAAGATTCCATTTTATCCTGCTTCCCTGTAACGCTGACAAAATGAGTCAGAGCCTATTGATTCTCAAAATTAGTTTTCCTGACATGCAGTCTTTCCTTTTTTTTTTACCTCAGTCTCTAATACTGTTTTTTTCCATTACCTATCAATAATAAATATTTATGTGTGATATCAAGTACCCACTAAACAAATAATTCACTCAATATTGTCAAACTATTCACTAAGTCTGCATTACTATTACTATTAATCTTCTCATCGTTCCTATCACCCATATCCTCCCACTTATGACTGTATGACTGTAACTTGTTGCTGTATCCTTCCAATTTATATTGACTGTTTCCTAGTATGATTTGATTGCTTATTTGCTATCATTAAGTTTTGTACCTTATGATTCCTAATGATTATACCTTTTCTTTTTATATACACTGAGACCATATGCACCAAAAACAAATTCCTTGTGTGTCCAATCACACTTGGCTGTATTGTATTGTATTGTATTGTATTGTATTGTATTGTATTGTATTGCATTGCATTGCATTGTATTGTATTGTATTGTATTGTATTGTATTGTATTGTATTGTATTTATGAGCATCGTCCCAAAACAAGACACAAAACAGATTTAGAAACTACTATGTAACAACCTTATAAAATCAAGCAATTAAAATATTGAATAAGAACACGGTACACAGCAGCATAGATTTGGCTGAAAAACTGTGGAAGCAAAAAAGGTTCTGCTATAAATCAACAGGAAGAGAATTTCATTTTTATGATTATTTTATCAATATTCTTAAGCGATATACGGTACTGCAAGTCCCTTATACTTGACTTAATAGCCAACTAGTATTCAGTTCATTTCCAAACAGATTAATGTGTTCATTAGAGTCTATTTTCTTTGGAAACCTAAATCCAAGTTTTCCCTTCCTACCTTAGTGCCATATAAAATATATTATAATAGTCTGACTTTGTCACTGCAGGAAGAAGAACTGGAAAAGGGACATTTTGTCATGGAATTGCTTGCCTCAGCTGAACCTGAAAGCTGAAAGGTCAGATTAGAGAACCCTTCTTCATTATTACAAACAGAGACCTCTACCCAGAATCATTCTGTCATGATTTTAGTAATACAGTTTATTAACCCAGTGTGTGCATTTTCAACATCCAAAAATGAAACTATAATTGATAATCAGTACAATTTTAAAAAATGAGGTTAATTATATATACAACAGTCAAACAATTAACATTTAATAATGTATTTGAAAGGTCACCTGCAAAATATTTGATGCTAATACCATCTAAGGTAAACATATAAGTGGATGCTAATCATCTATTTGAGGAATTCACACATTATATTATTCAACGAGCGGGAGATGAAGAAGTTGTTCAGTGAGTGACAGGGAAACTGGAGGAAAAGTAGAGTTAAATAATTTTACTCAGTCCTAGAAGATAGAGAAAAGTAGAGTTAAATAATTTTACTCAGTCCTAGAAGATAAAAACAGAAAGAAAAGCACACTTTTGCCAGAACAAAGGTCAGAATATTTCAGACTTTCTCCTACAACAATAAAGGAAACATATGCAAGATGTAGCTTTTGATAGTCATAGACATAACATATGCTAAGGGAGAGTATCTTTTGTACAGTCTTCATATAATCTAGGAAAGGATAGAAAAGAAAAAAAAAACAGAAGGAAAATTAATCACCTTTTCTTTTCAATGCTGAACTGCTTGCACAGACCTGGTCTTGAAGGCTGGTGTTAGATGGTTCCTCCAACAGTTGGATAGGAAAAATGATAGGAAATCCTATCAGTAGTTGCTTCTTGATGTTATTTTGCCTAGGTCAGTTTGATGTGGTCCCAAGCTTTCTGAGGACACAATTCTCTTGGTAACTCAAATCTGTTCAAAGAATGAGCATCAGCACACTATTACTATTATTTTGTTTGATTCTGGATAAAGCTGAAGCTGGTGAACCTTTCCAGGATGTGGAACCCAACTTAGCAAGAACTAGAGGCAGAGAAGTCTATACTTTTAAACTTAATAAAGGTAATATGCTATAGGCATTTGGTTTAGCTCCTATTAGGCTCCTTGGGTTTGTAATTTAGTGAAAGACCCTGACCAACTTCTTCTACTCACTGGGTTCATGTCCAGGCTGCTGAGGGAAATCTGGCTTCAGATGTTTCGAAGAGGTTTCTCTCTGAGATAAGTAAATGACTGGCAGGTAAAGAGAAAAGTTCAGGACTGGCTGTTTCTCTTTGGAGTCCTGAAAGATTTCACCAATTAATTGAGAGGAGAGAAGCTCTTCTTTTATAGAAGATTTCTGCCCTGAGGTAAAGGTAAATGAGGTAATACTTCCTGAAAAAAGGGGCAGGACAAAAAAGGTGTCCAGAAAGATATGGAAAACTGAAAAGGTTGTGTTAAAGTGGGTTGGGCTTCCTGCCTTCCAGAATTTGCCAAAATTCTGATTGCCGAAGTTCTGTAATTATTGGGATTTACAAGAGAGGATGCAATGCAGTGCAATGAGTCACTGAAAAGGAAGCAAAAATAATGTCTAATATAAGAAATGGTCCAAGAATTAATGGTGCTAGCAACAAGCAGATACAAGTGTCACTGTTTATCAAAGTCCAGCAATAAGCCAAGCAAATGAAAGAAACAAGGGGAACGCTCACCTTTTTCCAAGTCCTGATGAAGGACATTTATTTATTTATTTATTTATTTATTTATTTATTTATTTATTTGTTTGTTTGTTTGTTTGTTTGTTTGTTTGTTTGTTTGTTTGTTTATTTATTTATTTATTTATTTATTTATTTATTTGTTCATTCTTATTTCTATACTGCCCTTCTCCAAATAGGACTCAGGGCGGTGAACAGCCAAAGTAAAAAACAATACATACAAAATTTAAAAGCAGTTTAAAATAATTAAATATTTTGGCCGTAAATTAAAACAACCCAATTTAAAATCAATTTAAAATTTAACTCAAGCCAGCCCAGCTAGTTGAAATAAATGGGTTTTCAGGGCCCGATGAAAAACCCGGAGGTCTGTTATTGTACGTATCTCTGGGGGGAGGTTGCTCCAGAGGGTGGGCGCCGCCACAGAGAAGGCTCTCCCCCTGGGAGTTGTCAGCCAACATTGTCTGGCGGACGGCACCCTGAGGAGGCCCACTCTGTGTGAGCGTACTGGCCGGTGGGAGGCTATTGGTGGCAGAAGGCGGTCTCGTAAGTACCCCGGCCCTAAGCCATGGAGCGCTTTAAAGGTGGTCACCAACACCTTGAAGCGCACCCGGAAGACCACCGGGAGCCAGTGCAGCTTGCGCAGGAGAGGTGTTACATGGGAGCGCCTCGTTGCCCCCATAATCCCCCACGCGGCCGCGTTCTGGACCAGCTGGAGCCTCCGGGTGCACCCCCAGGGGGAGCCCCATGTAGAGAGCATTGCAGTAGTCCAGGCGGGAAGTGACGAGTGCCTCATCCACTAGTATGAGTAATGTTGTTTTCATCCCTTGTTTGGCCTTGAAAATGCTAGTTGCCTGTATCATAGGCAATGGTAAGTGAAACCTCACCATCTTTTCAATTGCTTGATAAGCCATGGTGTCACAGTTAGAATGCAGTATTGCAGGCTAATTCTGCCAACTGCCAGCAATTCCATCCTGATCAGCTCAAAGTTGACTCAGCCTTCCATTCTTCCAAGGTCGGTAAAATGAGAACCCAGATTGTTGTTGGGGGCAATATGCTGACTGTATAAAACAATTTAGACAGGACTGTAAAGCACTGTGAAATAGTATATAAGTCTAAGTGCTATTGCTTACCTTAAAAACAAGAAAAGATTGTAGTTCAGATGGCAGTTGTCTAAAATGGATGATTCCAAAGAAAAAGTCTTACAAAGAAGCTACATCACTGTCTTCATCAGGATTCCTCCACTGAGACACTAAAACTTCCTGGATCAAGTTTCTTACATTCTCTCCACTCCCAAAGCAACCAAGAAGACTTGGCTCAAACTCAGAGGTAGATGAAATCATGCTAGATAGCACTCTACCATCAGAGTCTGCTATATACCATCCCAGTCCTCAGGATGAAAGTTACATTGGAAAATGTAGCCCCAGTGGACTTTGACTCAGATACATGGTGTCAAGACAAATATTGTGCAATGTATCACTGTGGCAAATGTTGTACATGGCATATTGACAAAATGTGCAATGCATCATGGTAGCCTGATGTTCTTCCAGTTCTTCCAGTCCATCAGGTAGGATGAATCAGCCCCACTATGTAATCAGACTAAGAAATCAACTCCACAGGACTACTTTTATTAAGAATCGCTATAACAGAATCTCAACTGATTATGTTGTGCCTCCTCCTCCTACCTATAGTTCAGTGAATTAGGGCAGTGTCTATCAAATCTGCTTAGGGACTCCACTGTGAACTTAAAATATGTTTCCCGCTCATAATCATGGCAACTGGAACTTCCATATCCCCATAAAATCATCACTATTTCTCTTTACAGGTTGTAGGCTACCTCAGATTGGGTCACTGAATGATAATGCTCCAACACAAGGTTGGAAGAACACAAATACTTCTCTCCTTGTGTAGATCTGAAGATAAATTCTTTTCCATGTACAGGAAGATTTTTTTCTTCTTCATATCTCTTCTGCCATTTCATCTCAATAAAACGAAGATCCTGGGGTTCAGAAGACAGAAGGGAAATTACATTCAATACCCTGGTTATTCAGCATCATTAGCAAACTGATGGCAGTCCAAATGTCTTAATTAGACCTCTACCCTACCCTTTGTATTAATGTTAAACAGCACCATGGAATAAAATGGAAAAAGGAAAGGGCTAGGGCTAGGGTTAGCAGAACCAAACATTTTAATTGCCACATGACTTAGTATAATCATCCAATGATTGCCATGCAAGTAAGAACTGAACCAGTGTATTCATCTGCTTCAGAATCCACAAGACCGTCTGTGTCCAGAATTGTGTTTCTAGAGTTTATGATCTACAGGCTGCACCTGTAAAAAATAAGGGGAGGGGGTGTTTGAGGGAATTAGTCGCTGAAGTTATAAATTAAGAGTTTATGACACTTTCATGAGTTTATGATCTGATTTTAACAATACATTAATGGAGACTAATTAAAATGGTGTTTTCATGGATAAGTTAATGGAATATAGAAAATTATCTGGCTATAAAATAAAAAAAGAAAAACAATCTTTAAGATACTAAATAAAAAATGTGACAGTGGATGAATAGAAACTGTTAGTGGATTTGACTGGTTTTGTCCTGGAATCTAAGATAGTTAAATACTTGGGAGTAAATATGTCCAAGGTGAAATACCTGTTTGTTTAAAAATAATTATAAAAAAATTTCAAGGGAAATAAAAAAAAACAGATTTAGTGAGATGGTAAAAACTTAATCAATTAAAATAAATGTATTTCCTATAATGCTTTTCTTGTTACAGACAATACCTGTATTGAAAAAAATGGTGTGCCTTTGGTACAATGACAAACAGATTTCAATAAATTCATATGAACACAACTGTTCAAAGTTACCACAGATTTGAAACAAGTTACTTATGCCACTTCCTCAAAGAGCCTTGGTACTACAGTGGTTTAAAGCACCCTGTTATTAACACAGCTGCCTGCAATTTACTGCTGGTTCGAATCTCTCCAAGGCTCAAGGTTGACTCAGCCTTCCATCCTTTCTAAGGTAGGTGAAATGAGGACCCAGTTTGTGGGGGCAATAAGCTGACTTTGTATAAATATACAAAAGTATGAAGGCTATTGCTTAACGCACTGTAAGCCGCCCTGAGTCTTCGGAGAAGGGCGGCATATAAATCAAATTAAAAAAAAAAAAAGTTATCACTGCTGCACCATCCCATGGTCATGCGATCCCATTTTAAGCACTTGGCAACCAGATCATTTTTATGACTGGTTGCAGCATCCCATACAATTGTATTGTGTTACTTTCTTGCCATTATCTGGGAATGAACACCCATTGGAAAGCTGGATTTGAAACTACAACCGTATGATTCACTTCATGCCTGTGGTGACCAACTTAACCTACTATACCTACTGTATAAATGACCGTAATATTGAGTCTGGTCACATGGTAGCTCAACTTGTGACTACAATGATTTACAACCAAATTTCCAGGTTCAGTTGTGGTTGTAAATGAGGGATTACCTGTTTTAAATATCTGGAACAAATATAAGACAAGGCTGTCCCCAAGATGATCATTGTACACCACAACTCCAGAAGCAGGCCAAGAAAAATGCTTAAATTATGAGCATTTCCTGGCAAACCTGTATTAGAGTGTAGTTAATTACAGAAGTTATAAATTTGATTTGTTTGGCCATTGCATAAATAAGGACACAATTTGAGAAAGGAAAAGAGAAGGTATAGGAGAGAATAGGGATGAATTTGAAATAGTTTTATACAAAGGTGACAAAGGTGATTGTAAGAATTTATAAATAGCTATTAAAATATATACGGAACCATGGGCCAAAGCAAATAATCATAGATTCCTTAGGTGTTTCTTTGAGGTATTGAGAGAGATACCTTCCCCCTGACAGGTGTCTCCCATAAATCAAGAGGAGGGAGCAGTTTGGGAATGCTAGACACAAAAAAGAAAAACATTTCTCATTACGAATGTATAGGATGTATGTATACGTCATATATGCAAATGTATATGAGATAACACACTTTGGCCTTTCATTTCTATATGTCAACTTTATTTAATCAATTCCACACACCTAGGAACTAATTTTTCTCACAACCCTTCTCTTCCATTTTGACCTTTAACATACATATCTGACAGAAGAACAGGATTGAAACAATGACTAAACATTCCTATTAAGCATTGCCCAATGCCAGGGGTTTGCAACCTTAAACACTCAATGTCACTCACTCCCACCCAGTCACATGTCGTCCCCCCCAGCCATACCGATCCAGGTTATGTAACACTCAGTGTTTTCTTTGTATGGGAAACAGGTCTCTCTCTCTCTCTCTCTCTCTCTCTCTCTCTCTCTCTCTCTCTCTTTCTCCATCTCTCTCTTTCTCCCCCCTCTTTCTCCCTCCCTCCCTCTCTCTGATCTCTCTTTTTCTCTCTATCTCCCTCTCCCTCTCCCTCCCCATCTCTCATCTCTCTTTCTCTCTCTCTCTGATCTCTCTCTCTATCACCCTCTCCCCGTCTCTCTCTCTCTCTCTCTTTCTTTCTTTTTCTTTCTTTCTTTCTTTCTATTTCTCTCTCTCTCTTCCCCTCCCTCCCTCTCCCCCATTCCCCACGCAACCCATTTCCCAACCCATACACCCAGGGAATAACTGTAAGGAAATTTGGCCACGTTCTGTCTCTGGAAAGATACAAAATAAACCTTTCATTGCAAAAGGAGTGACTGTCAGGCTGTTACATCACAGCACCACGAGGTTGTTGCTTTACATCATCACACACACTTCAGGAAAGCATCATCCCAAGCAGCAGCACACTCACACAGGTACACATATACATCCTGCAACTTGATCCAAAGTGGCTGGAAAATATAGTCCTTGGGCACCCCGAAGACGCTTGGCAGGCAAAGTATGGGACAACGCCCCCAAAGTTTCCAAGAGGAAAGAAAAGAAGCTTCTCACTCTCTCAGAAAGCCCAGCATGCTCTCCTTGGAGCTCTTGGGTGCCTCTTTTTCTTTCTTCCTTTTGGAAATCCAGGCTGGCTGAAGAACGAGCGCAAGCCACAGCAAAGGCTTTCCCCTCCTCCTTCCCTCCCCCTCCTTCTCCTCTTGTGTGCACCCTCCCAGCTCCTTCATAGCCAGCCAGGGGGTCACAAGAGGAAGAGGGGGAGGAGGAGGAGAAGGAGGAGGAGGAGGTAAGCCTTTGTCACAGCTTGCACTTGTTCCTCAGTCAGCCCAAAAGGATTTTCAAAAGGAAGAAAGAAAAAGAGGTACCAAAGAGCTCCAAGGAGAGCATGCTGGGCTTTCTGAGAGAGTGAGAAGAGGCTCAGAGACAAGAAGCAAGAGAGAGTGAGAGAGAGAGAGAGAGAGAGAGAGAGAGAGAGAGAGAGAGAGAGAGACAGACAGACAGACAGACAGACAGACAGACAGACAGACAGACAGACTTAAAGAGAGAGAGACAGAGAGAGGGAGACCAGCTGATGGGGAGTGTCTTTGGCGAGGGCCCTCCGGTTTTCTCTGAGCCTGACCCCCAGGGTGGGCATGCGAGGTTCAGCGGGGCCAGCCCCCTTTTCCCTCTGCCCGAGCTTCTTAAAGCCACAAATGGGTGCTGCGGGCCCATACCTTTTTCCATCATCCCATCCTCCCAGATCCCATTCCCACCCCACCAGCCCTCATGTTAGTGAGGCCAGCATTGGTCGTGGCTGGGTCGGGCCAGTGTCTCAGGATGGAGAGCAGGTTGAGCATCTCCCCACACGACCGAGGCATGCCCAGCACCAACAAGGGCTAGAAGAAGCTCCAGCAAGAGTGAGGCACTGGAGAATCAGCCACAGCAACTTCTCCATCCCACGCTGTCACCCTTATCTTCTCAGACCAGGCGAAGAGTGACTGGGAGGGGAGGACAAGGACTGGGACAGCCAGTGATGGGACAGGGACCACAGCAGAGAGCCCAAAGAGCCTCATGCAGCTCTAGAGCCACGAGTTGCTGACACCCGCCCTATGTAAAGTAGTAGGATAACGTTTGCCAGAAGAATTAGGTATCCTAGAGCCAAGTTGTGCAATCAACCTGTCCTAAGTTACCATAAACTAAGCCAATTGCATTACATACTGGAAGCATATTCTATAACTTGCTTTGCCAAATCTCTCCTTTACCATGGCTTTTACTTTGAAGGAATGATCAGTGAGATTAAACCAACACACACCTGGAAATTCGTCACAGCTGTGCACAATTTTGAATAGCATAAAATCAAAGGCCATTCCATTCTGAAAAATTGCTATTCTTAGTTTTTCATGCTCCTCATTCAGGAGAACTATAGCATTTGACACACATCAGACATGTCAGTAGAAGCCAAAATCACAAGCTACATCTGATTTACTTCGGCTATGTCATGCGGGCAAATTCATTGGAAAAGTCAATGATGCTGGGAATGGTTAGTAGAACAAGAAGAAGGGATACTGGCTTGATAATATAAAGACTGATGCAAAGATGAACATCCAACACAAAAAAATTCTCTAGGAGAAATTAAGGAATGAATTAAAGTGAAACAAGAGTTATTGGTTGGCTAGCAATCCAGTGGCCGTTGTGTTCTATACCTTGGCAATTGTAAATAGACACGCTGATCGACATAGATACAAATTTTAGCAGACCCATTGCTTTTCTGGAAAACAGAAAGTAATGGAAAGAAAGAATATGAATGCAATAAAATAAACCAAATACTCAAGGGCCTAACTATCAAAATTAGACTCTTACGAGGACCATTGCCTCAAAGTCCATTAAGTTTTATCTTCAAAACTCTTCAGGATTTCATAGTCAAAACATCACCTTTGTTTCTTCTGCTCTCTTCTCAGGAGCCTAGAACAATGGTGGTGCTTGT